TCCTGGGCCGAACAAGCCGGACAAAGTTTCAGCAATCTCTATCTCTGTAGAGAGTATCCAGCTACGAGTTTGTTGTCTCACTGCTGGATCGCACGGTGGTAGAGGAGTTCCCTGCATTCGGTCATTGCCGAATTGTTCACTGTTGTGAGTGAGGGTGCGCCCAAAACGCCAACCCAACTCTTCATGTCATGAGATCTTTAATAATTATTAAATTTTAAAAAAAAATTTTAAAAATAAGGTTATCCTTATTAAATCTCACTAACAACAAAGGCATGAGCCCCATGCCTTTGTCTTTTAAATTTCTTCTCCATTTTTCAAAATTTCTTCTCCATTTTTTCAAAATTTCTTCAAAATTTTGAATTTCAAATTAACGTATGCCATGGGAGTTGTAAGTTGGACGGTGGAAGCGTGCCGTCTGATGTCGGTTCCTCCTCGTGGTGGACGGTGGAAACGAGGGTTTTACCCTCGGCTAAACGCCGACAAAATATGTGCTGGTTTGGTAGTAACACACACACAATTCTTTTATTTTGATTTGTTTACTTATTCAATTTTTTTTCTCAGTACTTGAAAAAATTCCAGACTTTTGGAGCAAAGTCCCTGACTTTTCCATGTTTTCCAGGCCATTTTTTCCCCTGACTTTTCCAGGTTTTCCAGATCGCTGGGAACCCTGTAAAATATCTTTTAGGCTAAATTTAGTAGGGAGAAACCAAGTAACATCAAAATGTATCATAGAAAAAGATATTTAAAGAGCCCTCCCCGTCCATAGCGCTCAAAACAGTGTTTAAAAATAAACTTTGGGCTCACATTTTGATTGCAAAAAATAATAATTCATTTCTATTCAACATCGTTGTACAGGGCCACTCAGACACGATACAGGAGAGCGCCTTCAAACCCGCCACGTATTCTTAATGCGAAATTCTGATACCACTATTCGTGCGCAACGACAGTCATTTTGCATAGTCGGCCAATTGAAGGCAAATCATTGACCCAGGCGACTGGGTACGAATTTCAGCAATTTGATGCGTGTTTTATGGGGAATAAAACCTTCGGGGGTGCCCTACCTGGCATCCAATAATCTCAGCCATCCGGGGGTGCTCCACTTAACATCCAAGAAAAAAAATCAAAGCCTGGCTTTGATTTTGTTGCAGGAATTTCATAATATTAGGATAGAGACTGTGGGACTTAATTTTTCCCAGTTAAAGCCAGCCCGTTTCTTTAGCAAAGAACTAACTGGTTCCTTTGCATAAGGCAGCGTTAGGTTCCTTTCTTTCTTCCGGGTTAATGTGGCAGTCTGTGACCCCCTAACCTTTGCACCATTGTCAACGTAACAAGCTTAATTGTATGCAAAATCTTAACCGCGCGTTCCAATAACCTTTCGCGCTGATGTCAATACGAAACATTGAAAGTCGTCGGTGCAGGAAATACTTGCAGCGTTATAACACTATCTGGGGGCACTGCTGAGCATTACCTACTTTGTCCGCGCGACCTTGAGGTTCCGCGTCCCTTCCAGTGGCGTGGCGTGAATGATCGATCATCGATATCTCGCCATTTGAAACTATGGTAAAGAATCGATTAATAAGGTGTTCGCTGCGAACACCCTGATAATCGATCTTTTTTCATAGGTTTGAGTGGCGTATCAATCGATATATCGCAAAGCACGCCGCGCCACTGATCCCTTCACTCGCCATTTGATCCGATTAACACACATTCCGGCGGAACTTTAGCATTGCCAGCTTGGGCGAGAATGCACGGATATTCTGACACGTTGGCGAAGGACGTCACATCGCCATCTCCGGCCAAAGTATCACAAGCGCCATGCGACGTTTAAAAATATCCGCCGCTATTTCATTTTTTCACCAAAAATTTTGCAACGAAGCTGTCCGATTTCATTGAATTTTCGTCATGCTGCCGGTAAAATTCGGTGAAATTTTCGAACAGATTCAACCAACAATTTCTCGGTGAAAAAAAAAAAATGGCAGGGGAAATTTTTAGACGTCGCATGGCGCTTGTGATACTTTGGCCGGGAGGTGACGACATAAGCATCGAAACGTTCCCGAAGTCCTCCAAATAAAATATTTATTTTTCAGAAAAGTTGAGAATATTTTCCCTGGTCAGGTTAAACTGTGTAGCGGATGATCATTGGAAAATTTACGGAAGGTGATTTGCAAGTTTTCCGGAAAATTTTCTATGCGTTGAAGAGAATTTGTCAACGTTTTAGTGTTCGTGGGGTAAATTTAACGCGGATATCGGAGTGTTTCAGAGATTTGACAACTTTGCAAATAATCCTCCAATCACAGCGACTAGAGCTTGGAGCTGGGCAAATTCGTTCTTAAAGCGCCGGCAGAGATAGACGATGGTGCTGAATTTTCTCTCAAAAGACGCTTTTCCATATCGTGCGTTCCGATGGTTCACACGTTTCCCCGCTGCGAACCAATTTAGAACGCGGGATTGCAAAATTGTGCTGTAAGCAGTTTTCTCCATTCCTGGTTGCAAAGTGCACATATTTTAATACAACAATGTGGCAACTTAGAGCGCTACCCACGTGGGGGTGGACTACCGTGTTCTATTGGAATTACTTAACCACCCGCTCAATTGCTTTAACAAGGACGAAATCAACTCATTGCAGACTATGGTTTTAGCACGATTTTTCCCTGACGCTTTTGTCGTTTTCACTGACTTTTTCAAATTCTCCGACATTTCCCAGTTTTCCCATGATTGCCACAGCATTTGAAAGATAAAATTCTCTGACATTTCCCTGATTTTCCTGACAAAAAGTACAATTCCCTGACAGTTGAAGATATGCCGGATGGTTAAAAAGACATAATTTGAAATAGTTTTCGGGCAAAATTTGTTGTTCAAAACGTCAAACCCATTCTCAAAGGCAGATAATGGTGAATTAACAATTTTTCCCAAGCACTTTCATCATTTTCCCTGAAATTTCCAGGTTTCCCCTAACTTTATGAAATTCCCTGACATTTCCCGGTTTTCCCGGTATTCCCTGACTGTGGCAACCCGGTTTTCCCTGACTACGGCAATCCTATCACTTGTGTTTTTTGGAGGCTTTCCCGAAATGAAGTTGTTAGTTGTTTGGATGTGAGAAGTGGTTACCTCGTTTGGATGCGTGGAAGCTATCCTGCGGGGAGATCCTCTCGATTTGGGCGAGGAACTTGGAGCGGGAGAAGCTGGGTCGGGTCGGGTCCTTGTTGATCTTGTCCACTGCGTACTGGAACGCCAACTCCTGCTCGTGGTCCCCGGGGTGGAACAGACCTCCTAAACAAAAAACACCACATCCACAAATTTACAAAAACACCATATCCCGACTTTCCTCTCACCAAGAAACCTAGCTCCATACCAAGGCTACAATATTGACTCAAATAATTCAATTTTTCACAAAACATGACTATATCCATGACCCAGCGTGAAACCACGTATCTTCGTATGCACTTGAAAAAAAACACATTGGATCTAGAGTCCAGACTCTTGAAAACATTGACAAGAAAAAATACTTTTGATCCAATCAGATTTAAGCTTAAATCAAGAGGAAATCCGCTCAAATTATGAGGCTTGGTTCTTGATTTAAGCAAAAATCCGATTGAATCAAGAAAATTTTTTCTTGTCGATGTTTTTCAGAGTCTGGACTCTAGATCCAATGTGTTTTTTTTCCAGCGTGCGACGTTGCAGACTTCCTGCCATTCTATATTTTTCTTTGAAAAACTGGTTTATTTTTCATTTGATTCATGTCGATTTAATGCATATCCTCTCGTTACATGCTGACTACTTATCATACTCGTATTGCTTTAACTAAACGATTCGCCTTCTGCTGCGTCTGCAACAACTGTTGTTACGAATTTCTTGTGCGAGCTGATTTTAGCTCATTACATACTTGACTCTTTATAAGGCGTTTCGTATGTGAGAGCAATTCGCCTTCATGTTGTTACGAGTATGTTTCACTCATATTTGTAGAGACCTGACTTTGAATGTTTTATCTCATTTCAATTGGCTGAAAACTAAGTTTTGAGAAGAGTTAAAAGTAGAATTTACGAGATTTTTATGTTGTTGATGTAAGCAAAGGATGTACCCCCAAAATACATATTATTTTGTTTTATGGCAAAGAACTCGGGATTGCATAAATGTTACTGGCCGATTTTATGCTTGATATTCTACCTAACTTCTCTCGCTTCAACCTGGATTTCAGCCAAATTTCACGCATTATTTGATAACTTTCATTGTACTGAAGTTGGAAAAAGAGATATTTTTCATTAATTCCTCTTTTTCACGTAACAATAAGCTGACACATTCTAAAATTTTACTAACTATTATGAAATCTCAGCTCACTCCTCCAACCTCTAATCGAGTTTCAGAAAAATGCGAATAGCCCGAGTTTCAGCAAAAGTTAAAGCACAGCTCAGAAACATTCATGGCGAGCGATTTCATTACATGTTTTGGAGGAATAATTTTACCGCAACTCAGGGGCTAATTCATGGAAATAGGTCGGGTAGCCGCAAAGGGGATTAGATTTTTCCTCTCCGCGTTCTATTTAAAACAGGTGAATCAACTAGGAGCCCAGCTTTACAATATAGACGAGAAACTTTGAAACATACGAGATTCATCATCGGTTTCAAAGCGTGGGAGGAAACTGCAGATTTTGACCCGCTTATCTGCCTGATGCGTACGATTATACGTGTATTAATTTATTTATTTATTTATTTATTTTTTTTTTTTTTTTTTTTTTTTTTTTTTTTTTTTTAAAGAGAAGTTGCACAATTTTGAAAACACTGTAACTGCGCTGGTTTCTTTTTGCTAAATGCGATCCAACTATCAGTGCATCTTCCGAGCTTGGGAGATGATATTGGAAAAAGTAGTGGTAACATTGCATTCATCGGAATTCCACGTGAGTTCCACCAGAAAGTCGATCATCACTGACTTTTTCGTCGAACTCCTATCAATTCATCGTTCTCCTCGCGAGAGAGTAACTATATTTCAATTTTTCCAAATTTTCCCTTACAAATTGCAGTTTTATCAGGAGAATCTTGGGCATTTCTGATTGTAAATTTCGCCGATTTGTATCCTGATCTCGTACGAAAATCAGACAAATTGTGAGCAAAATTCACAGGTATGCTCTCGTAACAAATTGAATTGTTTGAGCCAATTTCGCAGCCTTGGAATAGAGTTACGTTCCCGTGGCATGGCGTGCTTTGCGATATATCGCTTGATCTATCATTTAAACCAGTGGAAAAGGATCGAAAAACAGATTGTTCGCCACGAACACCTTAATAATCGATTCTTTACTATAGCTTCAAATGGGAAAGTATCGAAAATCGATCATTGACGCCTCGCCACTGTTACGTTCCATAGTTCGAGAAACGACGAATTGGAATACAAGGAACCACTATCTTTTGCTCTTCTTTAAAAGCACCTTTCTGCATAGGGAAACCGATGGCAAGTATGTTGTTCCTAAAATGGATTAAATTTTGCAAAAAAGGAACCGAGAATTCCAGTGTCGCTTAGATTGTGCAACTTCCTTTGCCTTGCAAATATAAACTGAGCATCTAAACAAATTTTATTTTTACTCTGAATAAACAATGAATTCAAGACGAAAATTACCTTCGTAAATTTGATTATTTACAATATTTCAGTAACTTTATTGCAAAGAATGTAAGTTGAACAATCCTACCAACATTGGAGTGATCTTGGTTCCTTTTTGCAAAATGCTAATGCAATCCAAATGATGAGCCAGAAATAGTGGTTCCTTATTGCAAAATATGGTCCAATCGTAAGTAGGGAGCATAACATTGCACCCATCAGATCTTTTCTGGCAGCAGAATATGGAGGAAACTTGAGAGCAAAGACAAGCGTTCCGGATTATCTTCTTTTCTTTTTTTCATCATTAAGACTTAATCATCAATTCTAAATTCGATAGTAGACGTATAAACTGGAACGGAACGGAAGTATCCCTATCTACCCCCCTGGCGGAGCGCATTCACTCCAATCACCCTGCGACACCGATACGATAGCTAACCACTCGAAAGTGAGGTTAAGTGCGGGCGCCAGGTGAATGGGGAGGAAAAACCGGCGTGAAGAGAAGTGAAAAGCGAGCGATAAATAAAGAGAGTCGAGAGGTTATCCTTGCGCTCGTTCCTTCGAGAGGTTATGACAGGCCGGGACTAACAGCCGCGCCTCGAGGAGGTCTTCAGCCCCTCGTCGCCGTCGGGTGAATCCGAAAAAAAGCGATAACCCNGGGGGGGGGGGGGGGTGGAAGGGGCGGGTGTTAGCCTAACTACTTACCGATCCTTATTAAATCGGGCAGCGCATGGGATCGGAGCTGGCAGATCGCCAGCGTCAGCAGGATTCGCAGCGTCCTCATCCTCAACTCCGCGGCATCCTTCACAGCCTGAAACAAATGTTGCACGTTAGGGTTAGGTTGATCATTGCTTCTTGAGGTGATTCGTCAAGCTTTCTGACGCCGTGGAACGGCTACACTAGGAAAGGGCGCAAAGAAGGAAAAACTTAGAAGAAGGCAGTGTAAGGAAAGCGCGCAAAAATCATATTGATCATAGCAAGGAAAGCGCGCAAGGAATTAGATGTTATAGTGTCAGTGTGAGTCCTCCGGCAACTTCACACTGGTAAAAAAAACCTCTTGGTTCAAGAGTGCAGTTTCTTCTCGCCGGATTTAAGAGACTGGACTCTTGTTTCAATGCAAAATCCGCTTGAAACAAGAGTTCAAGACTCTTAAATCCGGCGACAAGAAACTGCACTCTTAAGTCAATGCAATGCGTCATTGGTCCAAGAGGTTTTTTTACGAGTGCAGGCAGAGACATATTTAAAACTTTCAAAATCACAAAAAAAGCGAACGACATATAGGGGTTGTAACAGATTCCACCATGGGTGAAATTCAGCAGTACAAATATTTTTAGATATGAATTCTTACGAGTGCTTTAAATAATTTGCTACAATAAATCTAACGAAATATAAAAGAAAAACTCTGTGTTTTGGCGATTATTGAATTTGGCACGGAGCCACCTTGATATTTTCAAAACAAAAAGTATATTTTCCTGTAGTACATAATTTTTTTTTTAAATCTTTATGAACAGAAATAATCCATGCTGAGTGTACACAAATTCCAAAATCATGAGTTGACAAACGCTGACTCCGCGAGTTCAAATAATAGAGCCGAGCATACAGCGGCGAGCGCGAAACGCGTGGCGCGCGCCTACAAGACTGCGTGGATACTTCACGCATTGCTCGTAAATCACGGTCCATTCGCGCAGTGCGTGAAGTATCCATGCAGTCTTGTAGGCGCTTGTAGGCGTTCAGCGCTAGCCGCACTGTGTTCAGCTCTAATATTTAAACTTACGATTTTGAGACGTCTATGCACTCTGTATGGATTATTTACGTTAAAAATATGAAACAATTATGTACGTAAGATCCAACTAATCACCTGTCTTTCTTCACATTTTCATTAAGTATCTAAGGGTGGGGGTGAAGAGGCGTAGCCGCCGAATAAAATCAGACGATAAAATTCTCATGATCATGGCTGCATGCAACCTCTTAAATCTCCTTGCCTACTCAGAGGATATCTCAAGTTTTTACGCACACACACATCATACTTCCGTGCAACGCAAAAACGCCGTAAACGTAATTTTACATTTTTTGGAAACAATGTATCATAGCAGAAAAACTTGTGTACCTTGGAACAATGTTTTTACAGAATTCTTTTGAGAATACCATCAAGAACTTAACCTGAAAATTTGAGGTACATGGGTAAAACGATTTTCACTTAATAAAGAGTTAACTTCCAAAAAACGAGGGAAAATCTTGATTGATTTACGGCGTTCTTGCTTAGCACGGTAGCAGTTGCGCGGAATCCTTACTTATACGCTGCAATCAATCCTATTCAGTTTTTGCGCGCTTTCCTTACTTACTTTTTAGGTTTTGCGCGCTTCTCTGGTTTACCGGGCCGAGCTGGCATGGGATGTAGCACATCGAGTAGGTCAAAAATATCGGCAGATTTTGAATTTTCAGCCAAAAAAAAGGACGATGGCCCCTGCGCATGAGCCTGAAGAATCGTTCGAAATAAAAAAATCGGCAAAATGTAGGGAAACGAAAGCAGAAGGCTGTTTAGAAAAAAAACTCGCATTCGATACAGAAATCGATGACTGTATCGGATGAGAGGTTAAAAACTGGTATCGCCTCGATCGAAAAACCAGAATGTGAACCGATTGACGCACTTCAATCGACACCGATTCGATCGACGACCGTAAGTCGATTAACAAACTCGTGAATCGATCGACAAACCTGTGAGTCGATGGAATTTGGTCGATCGAATCGGAGTCGATGGAATTACGTCGATCGGTTCATGTTTTCTTTTTTCGATCGATTCATGTCGATCTAAACTGGGTTTTTATAATTCATGGTCAATTGATTCACGTTTTCGTTTTTCGACCAGTTCATGTCGATCGAATCCATACCCTCCCTAGAATCACACAATGCATTGATATTTAAATCTCGAACGTACCGTCCTCACTGAGTAAAGTAAAACAGGAATGCGACCCAAAAACAACCACATACGGGACAGCGCGTGGTAGCGTAGCATTGTTCAAAGAGCAAAGTTTGGAGAGGGATCCGCTTGCCGAAAGTTAAACAAGGAAGTTCCCATGGAACTGGAAGAGCAGCGGATTTGGGATTTAATCAACCATCCCTGGGAAGGGGGTTCAGAGTACACGCTGCTACCGTTATTTTTGTCGACAATCCACTCCTGAGTTCGCAAAAAAGCTCTTATACTACCGTGCTAAGGAAAAACGCCGTATGAACCCTGGTAAAAATTGGCAGTAGAATCTGTGTTCCAAAATACCATAGACCTAAAGCCGGCTGTTAGATTTTCAATAGTAGCTTCTGTAGCCGGCTGTACAATTTCTTACAGCCTTTCATAGCCGATGGCGATTAAGCAACACCCAGGCGATAAAGTGCATGCTAAATGTTAATATTTACGGATGCTAGGACTTAGTGAGTTTTTGGACTCCCGCTCTTTTTTTGGGCCGTAGTATCTTGATTTATTTTGCGCGGAAAGTTCCGTACTTTTGAAGGATGTCTGCCATTCCTAATATGCTGGAGTGCCTTCAATTTCGTATGATACTGTGCAATACCTCTGGTGTGAAATAGTTGCTTCAAGTGCCGTGGCACGCTGCGGCGCGGCGGGCGGGCAGCCAGCGCGAAAAGCGCCTTAGCGCCTACAAACCTAACAGGGATACTTCACGCATTGCGCAATGCGTGAAGTATCCCTGTTAGGTTTGGAGGCGCTAAAGAGTGCTTATCGCTAGCAGCACGCCGCTCCGCTCTGGGTTAGGCTCCAATATATAATCTCGCGGAGTCAGCGTTTTTCAACTCATGATTTTGAAATGTTTGCACATCCTGTAAGGATTATTCCCATTTTAATTGATGAAAAAAAATATGTATTAAAGGAAAATATAATGTGTGTTTTGTAAATATTATGGTGGTTCCGTATCAAACTTAATGATTTCCAAAGCACACGAATTTCTACACAATTTCTTATAGGCTTTTATAGCCGATGGCGATAAAGTGTAAAGCCCGGAGATAGGAACTACAGCCCGGCTGTATACTTTTTTATCGCTTCGTATAGCCCGATATGATTTTCTCCGCTTTCTACAGCCGGCTGTATGATTTCCTATTGCCTTCTTTTGCCAGCTATAAGAATTCCTATGGTATTTTGAAACGCAGCTCCTATGGCCAATTTTTACCAGGGACATCCGAGAGTTGCCAAATTTCCTCGTATAAAGCATGTATTCCTGAGGATTGTTATGCGTACTTTTCCTCGAAATTTTAATATATTACAGATTCAATTGCAATCAAAATTTTCTCAAAAATTTGAAGAAAAATCGTCACAACTTTCGTCACAATGACTTCGTTCAGTAACAATTCAGAGCGTTAGTACTGTTTAAGGAAAAGTTTTATTGAGTTTCAAATGTCAAAGCCCAGGTCGTTTAACGAGCGACTGGAAGCGGTTTGTCGAACTGCGGCCGACTAGACTTCGGAAAGAGCTGAGCTAATTGTTCCAGACGATGACAAATTACTGAGAGAACCGGGGCGCCTCTTGATCTCCAAGTTGGAGGATTCCCATTCGCTTAAAACTTTAAAACTAAGGGAGAAACATCGAGATAAAGTTCCTGTGAGGATCTGAGAAGTGCGATTCAACACTTGTATCCCATTTGAAGCAATAAGAGGGTTACAATTGTGTCAGATAACTTTAAACCACTAGCAGGGTGTCTAGTTTTTTTTCCTTTGAGGAAATCCTGCTGAAATCCTGATTTTTGACTGCTAAATCCTGATTTCTTAATTTTTCCAAATCCTGATCAAATCCTAATTTTTTACGGAGAAAAAAATAGGCAAATGTAAGTATGTAACTTCACAAAAATAGCTCTATAAAAAATATCCAATCGGACGGCCGATTTAACTCAAATCCTGATAAAATCGGGATTAAATCCTGATAGAATTGGAAAAATCCTGATGCTAGACACCCTGACTCATGATAAATCCAAAAATTGCAGAAAGAATGTTTAGTGAAAACGCTTTCTTGAGGCTTTATTTTAAAAACCTAGGTGGCTTTACTAGGAATCAACATAACGCTGCACGAGTGCTTTTCTATATTATTTTAAACATTATTTTCATTTTTTCCCATTAAGAATTGTGGAGAAACTCATGTTAGGTTTTTAAAAGCGCGACGAGTGGGAGAAGTCAGAACGCCTTCAATTCTAACCACACGCAACACGCGCAACCGCTGAGTTCGAATAGTTGCATCAAAGCGATACTCTGCTATAGAGTGTGATTTTGCGCGTCTGATTTTCTTCATAACCAATGGTACATTTAAAGGTTGTTTCAAGGTAGTATTTTTCTACGTATTTGGTAATCAAATTCAATACATATGAGCGGAAATATTTCAATAGCAAATGCGGAAGTCGTGCGACCACGGTGGGATTTCATCCATCAACCTCAACGTATTAAATCGAATGCGTTCAGTAGAGAGAAACCAAGCCAAATCAGCGACTGCTACATTTAACTGGGCGATTTAACTTTTCACAAGAGAACGTTCGAGCGGATTCATATGCAAATTTTAAAGAATTCGCCTCGTACTATGCAGAAAATCCATTAAAATTTGCACAATAATCTGCACAACTGTTTTCAAGTGAACAATTAAAGTGCCAAGTTAAATTGGGCAATAGCGAATGTGACTTATTCGTTTCTGCTTAACACGGTCTAATGTACGGAATGATGTGACTTTCCAAATAAATAAATAAATCTGGCAAGTGCGCAAATTAGTTACAGCTCCAGGGTATGCTATCTTAACATAGATTTTTGCTATAAAATTGTTGGGACTGT